CACTTTGGGATCTTAAATGGGCAAAGTTCAGGGACCAGTTTCAACCTCCCTCTTTGAGGCAGGAAGGAACCTGAGCTTCAAGTTGGTTTAGTGGTTCATCCCCAGCTCCACAGCATGACTGAGAATTGATGAAGAAGTAAAGCATTTCATGATAGGCCTTGGATGATCACTTCCTATCTTCAGCCAGGACACATAATGCAGACATTTTAAGGCACAATTTCTATAAGAATCTTTGACCAGTTTCAGAACCAAAAGCTGCCTTCTTCAAGGGAGCTAGAAAATTGCTTCTGTGATGTATCAGGCTTGGCGGAACTTTCGGAAGGGAACAGGCAGGTTTCCTATGTAGGCAGCAGATCCATAGGAGGGTGAGGCCTGCCACAGAGCGTTGATCCTTCCTGTTTCCCATTCTAAGCCATGCTGACAAACGTGTCTGAGTCACTGACTTTAGTCTTCTCAACAAGCACGTTTATGGATGAAGTGAATGAGGCTCAGCGTCAGGTCATTTGTTCAAGGTCATAAGCTAATAAAATGTCAGAGGAATTTCATGCAGACCTTCTCCAAGTCCAGTACCCTTTCCTGACCACAGTGACCATTTGGGCGGGTCACTAGATGTTACCTCACCTAACCCAATGCTAGAAATAATTCTTTGCTTTATGGTGCACACCAGAAATGGCTCAATAGGTCCATAAGAAGGAGAGTTATTTGCAGCAGGGGGTGGGGCTCATGAGAGGGAATTCCACCAGCCCCAGAGAGAAAAGGCTGTTTGGGGAGGCATTCTTCTGCCCCACCCTCTCCAGAACTGTGCACCAGGCAAACAGGAAGGTCATGCCAACTGAACTTGTCCCTTCTTGCCTCCAGTTTCCCAAGATGGCTGTGTGTCAGAAAGTGCTAAGCTCAGAAGGCAAGGCTTAGTCCTATTCTGAACTGACTACAGAAAATGCCCTGGGTGTAACTAAAGGAATTCAGGGCCCCGAATTAATTGAGTGGCATTCAGACCAATGCCAGAGCTCTGGAGAATCCAGCTGTCCTTTGGGGGGGCTGTTGGGTGTTGTGTGCCTGTCCCTCAGAGGAACACTCTGGGGGGCTACTAATACTCGCAGCTCTCTCCGTGGGTCCTGCGGTGCACTTTGCAAGAGGCAGCGTTGCTCCTGCTCATGAATATGCCCTGAGCCCCCTGAACCCTTTATCCTCATCAGGATAAATCAAATCTTTACCCTAATCTGTATGGAGAGAAGCTGTGCTTCCTGACAGCACTAAACACATACTTCATTTTTTGTCCATGGTCTCGCTTTTCTAAGACTCAAATTTAGACATTTTTAACAATAGATTGAAATTAGAAAGAAAACCTGTTCACCCACCCCTAGTAAAAGTTAACCTAATTCCCCTTGAGAACTTGAATGAGACAAGGATGCTCTTTATCACCACTCTTATTCAATATTATACTGGAAGTCCTAGCTATATAACTAACAACTGATTGGCTGATCACATCAGATCACATCGTGGGGAATGATTATATCATTTCATAACTGCCCAGCCACTGAGAATCATGGTGTAGCCAAATTGACACCTATTTTGGGAGTCACCATTCAATCCATGACACTGGCCAACTGATGTCACTTTAGGAATTTATCTCAAAAAACAAGCGAGTAGGTAGACAAGAATTTATACATTAAAAAAATGAATTATAGTATTATTTATAGTAGCAAAAGTGTAAAACAACCTAAATAAGGGATTGGTTAACCCTTTCATGACCTGTAGGACATACATTACCCACCAACATTTTCAGCTTCTCAGTTTTTTTTAGAAGCTGCTATCCCAGTTGTTCAGAAGGAAGATGGGGCAATCTACTTCCGTAGTGATACTGCCTCGGAAACCCAAGGAGGGGTCGCTATGAGTCTGGTCTGACTCGAGGGCACATTACAACAACAACATCCCAGTTGTAGTATATGCTGCCACTTGGTGGGGACCTGTATAACTGTGTGACTCTAAAGAAACGGGCCTCATCCTACCAGTCCCACTATCAGCAGAGTCTCCTCGGGGCATTTTGAGTCCCACATAATGGTATCAAAATCCGTATCACCTCATTTGTTTTCCTCACTTGCAGCATACTTCCATTACTGAAAACACATGGAATCAATAAAAATTCAAAGCAAGAAATAATGGATCATGAAAGGGTTAAGTAAATTATGTCTCTCCATTATATGGAATACTATGCAGTCATGAGAAATAACTTTATCAATCTGTATTTATTGGCATGAGATGTTCCCCTACCAATGCCTTAGGCTCTCATCTTCAAGACCACTCTAGGATTCCTAGAGATTGTTCTATACAAAGGCAGTAATTTCAAACAGGCAGATAAGCATTTCGATGAAGCCTTAGGGCAAAGACAGAATTCAAACCTATGATGGAATTTAGAAAACTTTAACCATTAAATTGAACAAGCATTTATTAAGCGCCTACCAAGAGCCATGCACAGCTCTGGGGAGACAAAGATGAAACTTGGTCCCTCTACTGCCAATCCAAAGCAAAATCCCATTGCCACTGAGTCAATTCTAACTCATAGTAACCCTGTAAGACAGAACAGAATGGCCTCAGAGTTTCCAAGGCCATAATCTTTATGGAAATAGATCAACAGGGAGCTCTCGCTCTCAAGGAGCACCTGGTGGTTTAAACTGCTGACCTTTCAGTTCACAGCCGAACGCTTAACCCTCAAACCACAAGGACTCCTGTCAATATGTGTCCCAATTAGACAGAAACACAGTGATCACTGTTAGAACTTCCTCCTCAAAGCAATACCAGAAGTCACATACAAGTATGCATTACTGTCTCCTGTGATAAAATCATGTGCTTTGATTCAAAGTTGTTGGGAGTAGTGTGGAACTATGTCTTGTTTTCCTGTTCATACCTGAATAAATCACAGCAAGTGAAAAGAATTTCATTACTGATTGCTCTAGCCACTCAGGGAATTGTCCAACTGTGAAACCTAATGCACCTCCAAAAAGTCTAGGACATGAGCTACCCGTGATTACTTCAGTCTGAGATCATCCAGTGGGAAATGCTACGGTCAGTACAGATCTGACTTTCAGATGCAGGACAGAATGAAGATACAGCCCTCTCCCCTCTCCGGGATCTGTGTCTCTCATGTCCGTAATTGGCTGCATGCTTTGTGAACTTCATAAAGAGTTAAGTGCACTGTCGAGGCTGTCCAGTCTAGCTGCCACTGAGAGAACCCAGGGCCCTGTGGTGGCTTCATTTCTCAGGGAGAACCCTGATCTTGACCTCAGAGGCTAAGCATCCTACCCGTCCAGGCACGCTTCTCTGTCCATGTGCCAGCATCCTAGGCCTCACGGCAAACACAGCACACCAGGGTCCTGCTCTCTCAGCAGCACTAAGGTATGGGGTGGGTCTGGCTCAAGTCCTAGTTCTGCCACTTACTGGGCAACTCTCTTACCTTCTCTGAGTCTCAGGGGTTTTCACCTACCAAATAGGAACAACTAAAAAGACCCCATAAGATTGGTATGGAGAATAAATAAAACAATGCATGCTAGGCAATTGATAAGGAATCTTGGGGGCACAATGGTTAAGTGCTCAGCTGCAAATTGAAAGGCGGGTGGTTAAAATCCACCAGCTGCTCCATGGGCAAAAGACTTGGTGTTCTGCTCCTGTAAAGATTACTCCTCTGGGGCAGTTCTCTGTCACAAGGGGTTGCTGTAAGTCGGCCTCAACTTGGCACCCAACAACAGGACACTTAGAACGGTGCCTGGCCTATGATAAGCACTCAGTAAAGGAGAATACTAGTAGTTGTTATGTTTTACTGTTTTAAGTCCAGGCTAGTTACAATTGCTAGGCCTCCAATATTTCCTAACTGCTTTTGCTGTTTGATTGTTCTCAGCACTTAATCAACCAACCAGATGCCATGAAGTTAACTCCCAACTCATGGCGACCCCATGTCTGTCCGAGTAGAACCGTGCTCCACAGGGTTTTCAGTGACTGAGTTTTCAGAAGTACATCACCACACCTGTTTTTCTGAGGCACTTCTTAAAAGGCTGGACTCGAACTTCCAGCCTTTCCGTTAGCAGCTGGGCACATTAACTGTTTACACCATGAAAGATCTCCCCTTAATGCTTACCTCTCTCTAATATACTATATGGTATACTGATTTTGTTGATTGTCTGTTCCACTCCACTAGGACAAAAACCTCCAGGAGGCAGGAACTTTTAGCCTCTTTTATTTTCTGCCTAGCTCATAAACAGCTTCATAATAGGTTTTTAAATTTTATTTGTAGTAGGATATGTTGTTGTTGTTGTCATGTGCTGTTGAGTCAGACCCGACTCATAGCTATCCCCCTTGGGTTTCTGAGGAGTTATCACTAGGGAAGTAGATTGCCCAACCTTCCTTCCGAGGAGTGGCTGGTGGGTTTGAACTGCCAGCCTTCTGGTTAGCAGTCAAGTGCCTTAGGCACTATGTTACCAGAGTTCCCCTGGTAGGTAGGATATATCTAACATAAAATCTGTCATTTTAACCATTTTTAAGTGTATAATTCATTGGCATGACTTATACTCACAATGTTGTGTAACCGTCAGTAGTATCAACTTCCAAAACTTTCTCACCATCCCAAACAGAAGCTCTGTATCAATTAAGCACTTACCTGCTCAATAAATATCTCCTGAATGAATGACAGGCGCTCTGGTGGCATCGTGCCTAAGGCATCTGACTGCTAAGCAGAAGGCTGGCGGTTCAAATCCACCAGCCACTCCTTGGAAGGAAGACTGGCCAATGTACTTCCATAGTGATACCACCTCGGAAACCCAAGGAGGGGTCGCTATGACTTGGAACTGACTCCACAGTTTGGCTTTTTTTTTTTTTTTTTTGAATGAATGACAGCAGGTCCTGAATCTTTGCCCCAACAGCACTGTCTCTTTCCTCCTGTCCTTCCGAGGATTAGGTCAGGATGGCATTGTGTGCTCTGTCTCTAACACTGTTTTCTCTCTCCCCGACAGGATGCCTTTGTGGAACTGTATGGCCCCAGCATGCGGCCGCTGTTTGATTTTTCTTGGCTGTCTCTGAAGACGCTGCTCAGTCTGGCCCTGGTGGGAGCTTGCATCACCCTGGGTGCCTACCTGGGGCACAAATGAAGTCACCCAGGCTGCTGCAAACCGTTATGCAAAAGGTTCACTAATGCAGTAGGCACAGGACGCATGTCAGTGAGGTACCAAGAATCGAAGCTGTGGTATCCTAAAACGAAATTCAGAAAAGCAAGTAAACGCAACAGAAAAGGACTTTCACGCTCACCGGCAAATCAGCTATTTACTGCCAAAGGGAAATATCATTTATTTTTTACCTTATTAAGAAAAAGATTTATTTATTTAAGACAGCCCCATCACGCCCGTCTTTGGCAACCCACCACTCACGGCCAAGCCCCACCTGGATCTGCTGTTTCTAGAAACACGGACCGTTTCCACGCTGGCTGCGCCGACTGTCCAGCTGAAGGGCCGACAGGCGGGCGACGCCTGGACGGCCGGCGCCAGGCCGGGCAGGTGTTCATGGCCCGGCATGGATGTCCCCTGCGGGCCGTGACAGGAATCGAGGGAGATGCCCAGAGGAACTAGGGTCTCCCTGCGGGGAGGAGCAGACACGTCGCGTACGAGTCACATGGTACAAACCCGGTTGGAGGAAAAAAACAACTGGGACCTTTGGGTGAACATGGTGTCCACGGAGATCCCCACGCTGAACTTCAGCGACGGGGAAAATGCCCTTAAACCACAGGAAAGTATTTTTTTAAGTTACCAATTGTGCCGAGAAGCATCTTAGCAACTTACACGATACCATCCAGTACCTTAAGCCCTGATGTGTGTACTCCTCTGTCTTGGAGCTGCCCATCCGAACACGGGCGCCGTCTGAGCAAGAAACAGGATCATGTGGCGTGCGAGGAAGCCCGCCGCCGGTGACTTCCTCAGCACGGGGAACGCCAAGCATCAGGCCGCCGCAAGTGCCTGCTTTTCCCGTCGTGAGGCCGCACCCTGCAGGCCTGCCTGTGGCCCCGGCGGAGGGCGCCGTCCTGGGGCCGAGCCTGGGCGCTCGCCGGCCTCCCAGGGGGCGTGCAGCCAGAGCAAGCTGCTCTCGGGGCGGTCGAGGGCCCCCGGAAGTTTCAAACCCACGCCGCTGACGAGAAGCAGCGATGGCGGCACTCGGCCTGGGCCTGCTGGCCGCAGAGCCGGCTCTCGGGTTGGGCCCATGTGCCACAGGGCGCTGAGGCGCGGCGCTTCCTGAGACTGTCTCTGAAGGAGCAACCTGTGAAGCTGTCTCAGAGAAGCCTATCAATCACTGTGGATGGAAACTGAGGCACAGCTCCTTCCCCGGAAGGGCCGGCAGGGGCGTGGTGCATGCTGGGAAGGCCACCACCGGGACTATGGGATGAGAGACAGATCCGTGCTCACTGGGCCTAGACGGCTCGTGGGCCGAACGGCCTGTGGCTGAAGTTCCAAGAAAGGCTTTAAATGACACTGGGGAGCGGTGGTGAATTCTAAAGGAAGCATTGAAATGAAGTGTCATGGATTGACTTATGTCTGTGGAATTAGGATGTAAAACATTATCTTGTCATTGTCTTTTGGTTTTCTTTGAAATCCTGACAGGAAAGAAAATGGGGGTGGGGGGGGGCTCCAGGTTTGGAATTTGGGGATTACCTGTACATCGTAGGGCAATTTAGAAAGAAAAAAAGTGGTGGAAAATTGCAGAAAGGAAGCAAAAATCTTCAGGTGATATACTAGCAACTATTTTTTTAAGTTTAGAATCAGCTTTGAGACATATACATGGAATAATATACATTGAATAACTTTGTGGCATTATTGCATTGTATACCATTTCTTTGTATTAACTTTGGAATGTACTATGTTGAATGTTTAAGGCTGTGGTTGATATTTCAAAAGCTGCTTTAAAAAAATACATGCATCTCATTTTCCTTAATTGTATTGTTATGGCCTTGACACAATTTGTTAGCAGAATAGTCATTTTCCATTTGAGATTTTTGTCTCTTAATTCTTCAGAAGCATTTTCAAGAAGGTGAGAAACCCTGGGTCTCACTCAGCAAACTTAGAAGCCCTGGATCACATTGGCCACTTAGGAGCCTTGCTTCAGCCAAATTCAACCAAGTTATGTACATTTCCATTTCAACACACTTGTTTATGGTGAGGGATAGATCTGTTGTCTCTTTGACTTTGTTCCTTGAAAGTTGACTTGTCTGTACCTGGGCAATTCTGAATTTAATTCAAAATTATTTAGGGTCTCATGTATCTTTGGTTAAACCCATGAAGTTCATTCAGCTGCAAATCCAGATGGGAAGTTACCAGAGGATAAAAATCTGCCTATGCATGGTTTGGCTTTTAAGAGAGTTGCTTTAGGGGCCTATTTAAACATAGACCCTCATGTAGAGCCCCAGTGCCCTCCTTCATCAGGGCCCTTGTCCATGGCCATCCTTCAGGTCTTTCCTGAAATGCAATGGCACTTACGTACCCCACTGAGAGAGAGCGGGAAACCCCTGGTATAAAGCAGACCTCCTGGTGGGCCTCAGGGAACGGGATGATCAGACCTTTGAATGATCCTAATTTTATAGCAAAATATTCTTTTATGAAAGGTTTACATTGTCAAAGGTGATAAATATGGAAGATCCGATCCTGTGCTGCTATCCTGCCTAGATCTTTCCAGTGGAGTCAGTTTTGCAGTATGCTCCAAGTGGTGAGCTTCTCCAAGCTGCTTTAGAAGTAACAATGAAGAGCAAGGACATTTTTAATATAAAACCTGTTTGTCTTTTGTTACTGTTGTTGTTATTGTTTAAACGAGGATTCGCAGAGTATTCAAAAAATGTATATATAAAGAAGGTCAGGGTGGTTAACTTCTGACTGGTTTCCTTTTGCTGTGGGGTTTTGCTATCTGGTTTTAACCATATATGTGCCCAACCACCTGACCCCAACTGTACAGTATTGTGGCTGCCTTCACTCCAAGAGTAGTTGATGTTACATTTTTCTTGTTAAAAACATGTTAAAAGCAATGAATGTATATAAAAGCCTCAAATAGTCAATTTTTCCATCCTTTCTTTTCATTGTCTCATTGTTTTGCGACCAGACAACAGAGAACCATCTCTACCTATTTCATACTGAGAAGGGATTCACACCTGAATATTGACTCTTCTTCAGCATAAACTTAAGGAACTCTGGTGGTACAGTGGTTAGAGTATTCAGCTGCCAATCAAAAGGTCAGTGGTTCAAACCCACCAGCTGCTCTGCAGGAGAAAAAACGAGGCAGTCTGCTTTGTAAAGATTTACAGCCTTGGAAGCCTTACTCTGCCCTAGAGGGTCACTATGAGTCCCAGTCGGCTCGATGGTAATGGGTTTGGTTTGATTTTAACCATAAACTTGGTGAATATGTTGTCAGGGCTAGAGTTAAATAGAACACATGCACTTTCCACACTGAGGTCAAGGCCTCTGGAAAAAAGAGCCTACCAGGTAAAAAGCATTCAAGAACCTACTTGGTCCTCTCTAGCCCTCCCAGCATAAGTACTCTGAAAGGGAGACCAAAACACAACAGACATATTCTAGCAAACGGAGCATATCCCAGGGGATTTGACAGGGCCTGAAAAGTCTTACAGGCTTAAGATTCAGATGGAAGTCACATTAGAATTAAGGAAGCACCTCCAAATAGTTCAAGCAAAACACCTCACCCCTCTGCCCCAGCCCAGTTCTTTCTGCACGCTCAAATGTGGCCTTCCATTGTGACTTCTTATTTCATTGTTGTTGTTATGTGCCGTGGAGTCGGACCTAACTCATAGCAACCCCTCCTTGGGTTTCCGAGGCAGTATCACTATGGACATAGATTGCCCAACCTTCCTTCCAAGGAGTGGCTGGTGGGTTTGAACCACCAGCCTTCTGGTTAGCAGTCAAGTGCCTTAGGCACTATGCCACCAGGGCTCCCTATGCTACCGTTGTTGTTGTTGTTATGTGCCGTCGAGTCGGCCCCGACTCATAGCGACCCCTCCTTTGGGTTTCCGAGGCAGTATCACTACGGAAGTAGGATTGCCCAACCTTCCTTCCGAGGAGTGGCTGGTGGGTTTGAACCGTCAGCCGTCTGGTTAGCAGGCAAGTGTCTTAGCCACTATGCTACCAGAGCTCCCTACCATTTAGTAAATGTTTATTGCTACCCTCTAAAGGCCTAGCCCTGGCCCAGTACAAGAAACAAGGAAGGACCATTAGAATAATGTGGATTAATGCTGTCATTAGGGCCAGCCCAACAAAAGGCCAACTTTCAGGTCAGGGATCTAGGGAATGAACAGAATTATAGTCTATGTTTGTAGTTAGACTTGTGCAAAAATGGGTGATTTATTGATTTGAACTTAAAATCTAATTTCAAATGTATTTCTAAGGCAGTGGCTGTTTTCACGCTTTCTTATCACCTACAGTTAGTAATGCACACCCAGTCTATCAGAAAAAACAACAGGAAAGGTTTGAAATAGAAGCCGGTCTACGGAAATTCGGGACTCAGTTGAAATTCTATTCTGATCTTATTCTGTGGTGTCTTTTGCTGCCCAGACAAATGTGGTTACACACTTTTTAAGAAATACAATTCTACATTGTCAGGCTCACAAGGTCCCAATCCCATCTTTATTGTTAGTCAATTTGGATCGTTTAGAGATTTTTCTTTTAAATAATACAGGACAAAGGACATTTGTTGTGGGAGTAAGAGGGAGGAAGAATTTTTAAATGATTCAAACAGTCCCCAGATTGGATCAGAATGGACATTTTGCCAACTAGCCAGACTTCTAGAAATGGAAGTTAGTGGGACCTATCTTCGCTCAAGTCGGCATGATGAAGGACCCTGTGTGACGAGTGCAAAGGCTTCTGAGTTCTACGATGCATATAGATTCTAGAGGCATCAGTACAGTTCAGCATCTGCTCAGATGGCAGTGCCAACGGCCCAAAGCTTTTCTAAACATTTGCCATCAGTGGTTTAAACTTCAACCTTGGATATATCTCATGGGCATTTAAACAATTAGGCTTGCTAGTTTAACCAACAGGATACTTAATAACAACCTTCTGGTTGGTAACTATCTGTTTTTAAGTATTTATTATGCACAATAATTTCAAAA